ACAGCAGATAGACACATGACATTTAGGAGGAAGAACACATCTGGGTTCTGCTAGAACCTGACACCAGGTGATTGTAAATCAACATGAACTCACTCACAGCTGCTGTGTGTTCAGGTGGTGAAGATTCTGGAGAAGCATGAGCCGGGTCGGGGCAGCACCGGAGCTCTGGGCTTCCTCTCAGGTCACAGCAGCTCCGGAGCCTCTCGTCTGGGTCCGATACCGGCTGACGAGGCCAGCGCCGTCCAGAACTATGTGGAGCACATGTTGTTCCTGCTGATGGAGGAGGAGGCGGGTCAAGGTCAGAACCCATCCAACACCAGAACAACATGAAATAGGAGGAGACACAGCAGCAGGCTGCGTCCCGGGAACGTTTCGAGGTCCGTTGGATCAAAACACTCTCCAGCTTTATTCAACTGAAGGTGCATCTTCTTCCACCACGATCCAGAGAATCGTCCCTCAGGAGTCTCTGTGGTCCAAACTGAGTCTTTACTGAAGCTAACTTTAGTTTAATGTAGAATAACTTTATTAGCTTAACATAAAGTCTGCTACTTAACTAGGTCGGTAGTGCTACAGCAAGCTAACAGGGCATTTTATTATCAGCTAGTATTAGCTAAAGCCAGCTAGTTAGCTTGGTAGCTAGTGCTACAACAAGCTATTATAGAATAACTCAAGTTAGCTAGTTAGCCTTTTAGACAGATAACAGTTTTTACTGCTGGACGTTACTTTATCGTTGGATCATCACGTCGACGTGGGATCTTCCCTCAAAAGTCCAGTTCTCACAATTTCACATCTTGCAGAAAAATAATTACTTTTTGGTGAACGAATGGAGGAGCCTCCGTGTGACTCATCAGTCGCGTTTGTACACGTTAATTTCATGCTTCAAATGATATTCAAAGATGAGAAATGGACTGTGTCTGATGTGGCGTCCTGGTTACCATGGTTGCCCTGCATGTATCTCCAGGAGGAGCCATGGGTCCAATCCTGGAGCTGGTGGTTCTGGAGGGCGTGATGGAGCGGTTGTTCCTGTGGAGTCTGAGGAGGCAGTTCACGGAGGACATGAAGCTGGAGCAGCTGAGGATGTACCAGATGCTGCTGTCTCAGGCCCGGCAGCCGCTGCTGCACCACAAACCGGTTCTCCGGCCGCTCATGATGCTGCTGGCGTCCTGCGCCGGTGCTGC